TCCTTGTCAAATTACATGACCTACTCCAAGAAATTAAAAGATCAAGAATAAGGTCGAAAATATTATCGATTCGTCACAGATGACCTTTCCCTCGAAAATATCCATCGATCTCGTACATCCCTCGCCTTGCATTTTTATCCCATTCCGCCGACCTTTTTCAACCACTTTACCCGACTGCAGTGGCAAACCGCCGACAATGCGGAATAGGAATTTCATTCCGCGCGAAACGCCGCGGTCGTTCCTCGTTTTTTTCCTCGCCCAACTACCCCCTCCCTCCCTGTCCGTTCTCCATCGTGGTCCCGCACCGTGATTACGCTCGTGCATGCGCGTGCAAGAACGGACGAGAAGGGGAGTGCATGATGAGAAGAGAGAGAGAGAGAGAGAGACGGGTCGGGGAGATATCGAAATAAACTGCGCCAAGATCTCATTACCATTTCGCGACGAGCGTGTCGACGAAATAATCGCGCGTCAAGTCGAGAGAAACCTCAGTTTTCTTTTCTCGGACCGGATCGACAGGACTCACCCTTGAATCGACTCACGATTTATCGAGCTGAATTATTTAACCTCCGCTGCCAGCTGCACTCGAAACATTCCTTCTCCTCTCTTTTTACACGAGTCTTTAAATATTAATCGCTTCGTATTCCTTTCCGTCCATATTCTCCTCCGTCTCCGTTCCGAATTGAATTTTAATTGCTCTCTTTTAAAAGATTTAATTCCTATCCTTAATCTCGAATTTTTAATAATGACGAGGGAAAAGTGTGAATTCGCAAAGCGAGGAGAATACTCGCTTTTGGTTAAAGTATTCCAGGTTACAAAAGACCTCGAATAGACACCAAGGAGCCACGGATCCGCCTTGAAACGACGTGCCGAACGGAACGAACGACGGAGCAGGGGAAGTTAAACGAAGCGAATAAAAGAATTAGACCAGGAAAATTGAATTCACCCGGGTGGATCGAAGTGGTTCAACACACAAAAGCCTGGGATCCTGAAACGGCAAATGTATCAAGAAGCGTACATCTTTAATCAATTCCTCTTTCGTCGAGCGTTTTACTTTTATCCCGTTCTTCCTCCGCCTATCAATTGCGAAACAATACTTACACGGTCGAACGTACGCGAGCACGTCGACTCCCACGTCACGATCGTCCACATCGTCGACGGAATGATGAAAAACTGGCGCGTGCCGTTTCCACATATTTCCCTCAATTCCATATTTGCTGCAATCATTTCGGAGTAATTCGCGATACACACGTTACAATTCCACAAATTTCTATTTCCAATTTTATTTACTCGCTTCGATCCCAAATAACAAATCCATATTCGTTCCATCTTCGACAAGGGGCAAGGGAAAAGCCTTATTATCGCGGAACGTTGGATCCGCGTTATATAGATCTCTTTCCTTCTCTGAAATGGAAAGGAGCCGTCGTAACATCCGTGTGCGCGCATCCGTGCTCCAGAACGGATGCAATACGGGGAAGCAATCTTCTCTCGACGACTTACCCCGGTGCTTAGGTACGTATCCACGAGGTGGGCAAGGTGGTCGTCGGGNGCGGATCGCGTCCGTCTCGCGTGTCCGCAATTTTTCCGCTAGAATCGTTGCCCGCTCGTTCCATAATGCATGCCGTGCCGCGTGCGATGCTCCGCGCGGTGCAGCCTCCCTCCCTCCCTCCCTCCCCTCCCTTCCACTGTGCGCGCAACCGGGGAGGGGAGGGAAAGGCCGGAGGCGCGCTCAGCCTTGCGAAAGGACACGCCGCAGGAAAGGGAGGAAGAAAAGGAGAAGGAAGAAGAGGGGAATAAGAGTTTTTCGTTATGATCGTAATCTTAACGGGGGGATCGCGGTCATCCGGATCAGCCGGACGAACGAGAATACCGGGACGAGGATAGGTGGGCAGGGCTTCGATTCCTCGACTTTCTTGCGGTTTAGCACGCGTTCGTTACTCCTTGCTCGCTCTTCCACCGATCCAAAGGTTCTTTTATTGGTTTAACCTCGCCTTTTCGCCTCATCGAGTCTTTGATCGCACAGGCAAAATAGGGAATTTTTCTACGGAGAAAGAGGAAAGTCGAATTTAGGAACGAGTTAGAGGGAAGTCGTTAAGTCGTGGGATCGTAGATCAAGAGGTTTTTCATTGTCGAGGATCGTTGCTTTCTTTAAAAAAAGTTATTTTTTATTAGTCCGAGAATAAATGAGTCGGAAAGATCGTTGAAATTTAGTAGATGTTTAATTATCGGGGAAATGGTAGGGAAGAGAGAATAAAAAAGGATGTAGAATTAAAAAAAAAAATATGGAGAATTTGTATTTGCGACAATATCTGATGAATTCTATTGATGCAACGAAATGATGTCGTATTATATGTATCCCATTGGAAAATTAATAACGGGCATGGGAAGCATTTGCCATTTTTCATCTTGAGGCTCGGCCGTGCCAATTGAATGTTAATAAGTATTGATTACAAAGCAACCAACTTAAACCGCAATGCGTCGATTATATAATGGACGTTAAATGGTTGGCGGTTTCGACAACATGCATTAATCATAAACGACGGTACAGTTATTCGAGTGTAATCAAACGGTTGAGCGAACAAGCATAAATAAGCTCTATCCTTGTTATCGCTTTTAAGAACACTTTTAATTAATCCTTCGCTTCTTTTTTTTTTTTTTT